GCTCGCCTGGGAGTCAGAGTGCCAAGGCCCACACAGTTCTCACTTCTAAAACGACGTCTAAGCACAAAAGGACCGCCTTTTGGATTAAGACATTGTCATTTTTCAGCATAGGGCGGGAGAAACAGCGTGGAATATTCTGAATAAATCAGATTTCCCTTGAAAAGAGTGGTTAAATCTTTGCTGGGCTTTAATGGCAGAGGTTAAATGTGGTTTTGTAAATTTTGAAATCCACTGAAATTAGTCAGACAAGACTTCTGGTTCTGCAGTGATGTAAACACTGATTTTCCAAACAAAACACAGCGCAAGATTCACCGTCTTCGTCCGCTGCAGTGGTCGCCTTACACACGTGCTTGCGGGAAGTGAAGTAGCTGTCTTGTGCAGCAAGGTGACTGTCAGTGGTGATATAGTCTTGGAAAATGCAAAGGGAGTGGATGTCCAGTGCTCTCACCACAAAAATGAGTTATATGAAGTAATACGCTTTGTTAATTAGCTAGAGTTAACCATTCCACAGTGTGTGTATACTTCCAGACATCACGTTATATATGTTATAACATACAATGTTATCTGTCTCTTTTTAAAAAAAAAAAAAAGTAGTAGCCAAAAAGAAAACAGAGTCCCTTTAGGTTTAAACAGAAAAATGAATTTAAAATAGTATCTTGTTAAAAACAAATTTATAGCAGATCTTTGTTATTAAAATTTTTTAAATGATTTGGTCTACTTTTAGAATATTCTTGAGAAAGGTTATAAGTTGTAAGGCTCTTTTAATGACTTGATCTGTTCTTTTTTGTGGTGTGCTTGTTTATAAGGGCTTTACTGAGACATAACTGAGAGAGCATAAAGCTCACCCTTCTGAAGGATGCAGTTGGGTTTTTTTAGTATGTTCGCAGGGTTGTGCGGCCATCGGCCCTATCTAATTATAGGACATTTTCATCAGCCCCTAGAGAAACCCATTAGCAGTCACTCCCCATTTCCTCCTCACCCCACTCCCTGGCAACCACTCATTTACTTTGTTTCTGTGGATTTGCCTGTTCTTGACATTTCATATAACGGAGCCGTGTACCATGTGGCCTTTTATGTCCGGCTGCTTCCCCCGAGCGCGATGTGTTCAGGGTCATCGTGTTGTACCATGGGGGGAACTTGGTTCCTTTCTTGGATGAGGAACGTTCCATCGTGTGGATCTGTACCACATTTTGTTTATCCCTTTCCTTCTTTCCCTCCCTCCCCACCAAAAAAAGAAGATTCTATTACAAGTTTCTGCTGTGTCACTATTTTGTTGACTATGTAAATATTGTTTGTTGCTGAATTGTATGTTTCTTTTCCATACAAGTTTTCATTTTTCCTAGAGCCAATTGCCTCATTTTCTCATAGGCTTGGTTCTCCATGTCTTTAGTACTTTTTTGCTTGAAAGCAACCCTTCGACAGGTCGTCAAACGCAGGCACGTCGGACAGTCTCCCAGCTCCTTGCAGCTGCTGGCTCCTGCCCGGACGCAGCTCTCGGGGCCTGCAGGCTGCGTGGCTCCTAGCCTGGGTCCGTCTTCACCGTTATTTGGAAGTCAGATCCCTGATGTTCCATTCTCTCAGTTTCTTTCCTTCATTTTGCCAAATACCATTTGCCAGTGGTTTCCTGGGAGAGACTCTGTTTGTTTGTTTTGGCTCTGTGCACGTTTGAAAACATTCTTACTCCTCCCTCAAACTTCTCTGGACATTCATCTAGGTATAGAACTCCAAGTTAATTTTCCTCAGAATTTTGAGGGTGGTTGATAGCCTATCCATCATTTTTCCTGCCACCTTTGTGATGCCATCTGATTCCCCTCCTTTTGTATATGACCCACTCATTTTCTCTGGAAATTTTTGGAATCTCCTTTTTAACCCTTTGCGGTTAGATTTCCTGGGCCTGGGCCTGCCAGCATGGGGACCTGTGTGCCTCGACCCAGGGGGACGCTCGTCTTAGCTCTTGGGTCCTTGTTCCTCCCTTTTCTCTGTTCTTTCCCAACTTGTCAGCTGGTGCCGGGCCACCAGAGCCCATCTCGTCCTTCCTCCCTGTTGTCTGTTCTGTTTCGCTTCCCTTTCGAAGAGGTCTTGAGGGTTTTATTGTTGTTACTGTTTGAATTTTGGGTTGAGCTTCTCTTCCTTTGTCCTTCCTTGCAGCATACCCGTTGGATGGCCTGCCATGGGGTAGACCTGCAGGAGCCTGCGGCCTGCCCCGTCACCCCCGGGCTTGCCACTGTGGCACGTGTGGCACAGTGCAGCACCTGTCCCCTCTGCATCAGGAGGGGTGACAGTAGCCCTGCGTGCTGGGGCTGTGGGGAAGCTCAGCTAGGTTAGTCCAGGGATCGGGCCTGGTGAGAACAGCACCTGGCTCCTAAGCCATCACATCCCAGTATGGGAATGTCACGACTCATTAGGCCTCGGACACTGTTGACGTACTGCCTTTCCTCAGGTTCCTCCTTTGTTCTGGTGACTTCTCTGTGAGCAGAGGGCTTTCCAGCAGGAGGGCGTCACTGTGGTTGGTCATGTCTTTGGGACCCCAGATGTTTGAATACGGAAGTCCTTCCTCCCAGGCTGTGGCATTTCAGAGAGGAATGCTGGGGGTGGTGGGCACGCTGCACCCTGGGCCAGAGTTTGGGGAGTGAAAAATGGGAGTGGCTGTTTGCTGCCACCTCAAACACGGATGGGGACCCAACAGCTCTGCAAAGGCTTCCTGTGTCCCTGTGCCAGCCCCTTGCTGCCTTTGTCGAAGCCGCCTCACACAGATGCTTTTCAGTTTCCTTCTGACACCTGGGGGAGTGGGAAGGAAAGGAGACGAGTCCCCCACGATCACTGGGAAGTCTGAGGGGGACACTTGACGGTGCTCTAACCTTGGAGCCCGGGCTGTCTGCATCAGCCAGACGACCCCCTTGCAGCAGAGAGCCTCGGCGAGTGGCGTGGCCATCACGGTGGAACCGCTGGCTGAGAGCGACCTGGTGCCACATGGCCATGCCAGGCTGTGCTGTGGGCGGGGATCCCCCTGCCCAGGCAGAAAGACGGAGGCAGAGTTGAGTCTTCGTGAAGTTCCTGGCAGTTTCAAAGCACTCGGCTTGGCACCTCCTGCCCGATTGGCGCTTTGATGGTCAGTCTGGGTCTTACAGTAATAGCCCTCAGATTCAGGTGACGTTGGTAATTTAAATTTTATTGGTTTTGTAATTTTGTTGGCATTTAGTTTGTACTTTTATTTTGGTTTTAGAGTTTGTCTAAGCTCTACAGAGTGTGTTTCTAATTTTAGGTTCATACATACTTACGTTGCTTAATGAAAATTATTTCTTAGCACTGACAGTTATGGGAGTTTCTCTTTTAAAAGATCTAGTTCATTTTAATTAAGTTTGAAAACCACTGACAGAGCTAGAATGCCATAATTATATAATCGTACACTCTCTGGGTATGAATGACATCGATTTTGTCTCTTTTAATCCAATACAGAATATTTTAGTTTCATTTAAGCCAATTAGGTTATTTTGAGTAATAAAAGAGTGACATTTCTAATAAGAAGCAGCTTAATCCTTTTCCCAAATCTAACTGAGGATTTTTTACAAGAAAAAAATGCCAGGCATGGGCTTCAGATGGGGGCTGCGAACAGAGCCAGTGCCCGGAGAGCTCGTTCTGCACGTGCTGATGGAGTCGTCTGTTAGCGACTGTGATAAAAATATCGGTGCCGACCTGTAAGAAGTGCGTTCTGGTGTGGCCACTTTGGGGGGAGTTCTTCAAGGAGTTTCAACTTTGGGGTCCGTTTCTTACTGATAGACAAATTGTTTACAATAGCCATTTAGCAGTTTTTGTCTTTAAAAACTTCCAGCTTTAATGACACTGGGCCTTGGGTGTGCAGCGTCGTCACTCTGCGTGGTGCCCACCAGGGGGGTGATTCCTGGTGATGCCGCCATTCCCGAGACTTGCTGGCCCTGCTGACCAAGGTGAAGGGTCCCCTTGTGTGAGGACAAGCTCCAGCCAATCCCTCGGGGCTGTGCCCCTGCCACGCCCTCCTTGGGTCGGCACACAGCCGGCCGAGCTACAGGAAACCAGCTTCCTCCAACTCCATCGTGGAACCTTTTCTTGAAAATATAAAATCTTTGTCCAAGTCACAGACCTGGGTATTTTTCTTGATTTATTAACCTCTATCATAAATCCAGATGCATTCCCTTGAAACCAAAGGGCTAGCCTCAGAGTACCTAAGGACTTTTCCAGGGCTTATTTTTGTCATTCTTTATACCCTGTGGTCTTTACCTCCAGTGAGCTGGTGTCCAGGTATCTTTGTGTTGAGGAGTCAGAAATCTCAAGTTTCTTGCTAACGGTTGTCTCACTTGGTAACAATGTCATCGTTATCAGCGGGAGTAACTTTATCCAGACAACGCAATAGAATTTGTATATAA